CACAATCTTTGCCAATGCCGAGGCAGCAGCGGGGGCCGGGGCGTCTCCGGGATTTTATATCCCAAAATACCCGCAACAATAAATTATTAACGCCAAACGGAACCAACTCGCAGCAGCCCCGCAGCTCCAGCTACCCGCCACCCGGCGTGGCCCAGTAGCACGGAGGGACCCCAAGGCCAGGGAGCGGGTCCAGGACCCCCTGGTGCCCCCCCAGCACGGGCAGGACACGGTGTTACCACACGAGTTTATTTAAATAAAACCGAACACAGATGCAGCGTTGCGACCGGAGTGATGGACCAGACAAGCGATGCGACAGGGACACGGCGGCCGGGGCGGGCGGGCGCTGCGAACCCTCACGGTCACCCACCCCAGACCCCGGCTCCGAGGGGGCCACGGGCGAGGGGAGAGGGCCACCGCTGTCCCCACCCCATAGCAGGGACAGGCTCCTGCTCTAGGACCCCCGTGGGGGCGGGTGCCCCCCAGTGCCACGGCTGCACAGGGCTGGGGTCTCCTCTTCATCTTCCCTCCTGCACACCACAGCCTCCCGCCCCCGCGGGCTGCCAGGCACACCCACCCTGCCGCGGGGGTCCCGTGGGGGTCCCGGCAGGGCGGGCAGCACGTGGCACCCCGGGCCAGCCCCCGAGGACTCGGTGTTCCGTCTCGCTCTCACCGCGGGCAGGCGCGACGCCGGGGCGGCCGCGGCACTCGCTCACACCGAGGGGACAACGGAAATAAATATGGGGAGGGGGTGGCGCGGGCTGGGCCCCAGCGTGGGGGCAGAGCCCGGCCCCAGCCTCGGCCCCGGCGCGGCCGCGCTTCTCGCCTGGTTATGGAGACGGGGGGTTCCCCCCGGAGCTGCCGGAGACCGCGATGGCATGTGACAGTGCAGGGCGAGGCACGGGCTCGGACCTCGAATGTCTATGGTGGGGGGCGGCGCGGGGGGCACGGGCGCGGGCCGGGGCTAGTACTCGTCCTGGTCCTCTGGCGGCTGCTCCTCCAGCTCGTCATCCTCTGGTGGAGCGAAGCCCTCCTGAGGGAGATATGGCGGCCATTGGCACGAGGGTGGCAGAGGTGGGCATACTGACCCCCCCCAGCATGGCACCGGGCCTTTGTCAAAGCCCAAACCCCCCCAGCGCCCGTGGCAGCGAAGGAGGCTGGAAGCGGCCGTGCGGAAGGGGTCTGTCCCCTCCCATGGATGCCCAGAGAACAGGATGGGGACACGGGGGTCCCGAGGGTCCTGTGGTGCCCGGTGCTCACCTCCGTGGCGTAGAGGACGCTGACGATGCCGGTGATGATGGGGCTGTTCTCGTTCTCGTGCTCCTGGCAGATGAGCTCGATGTCCCGCAGTTTGCTGAAGTAGAAATCCCGCTCCTTCTCCAGCCCGTCCACCGTCAGCTTCAGGTCCATCAGCTGGGGTAGAGGGAAATGGCCGGAGCCTTCAGGGCCTCCCACAACCCTGCGGTGCCCCCCAGGCCCCCTGGCAGGATCGCCCCTACCTGCTGGTTGAGCTCCAGGATCTGCGCGTCGGCCTCGGTGCCGCCGTTGCGGGCGGCGGGCGAGTTTTTCCGAAGGATGCCACTGGGCACATTGCCGAGGCGGGCTGGGTTTGGGGTGTTCTTGGGGCCGGTGGGGGAAGTTCTCTGGGGGACTTGACAGCACATGGGGACCGGTGGGTTAATGCCAGGGGGGCTGTCAGCGGGGACCCTCCCCTGCATCACGCCCGGAGGCAGCGGTGGGCAGCAGGGCAGGCAGAGCTCCAGGCTCTCCTGCTGTCACAGCCCCCCTGTCTCTGTTTCCCCTGGCAGATTTCACACCCAACTGCCCCCAGGGGTGCTCGTGGCTTGGTTGGGGTTTGCTGTGCAATCTGGGGGGAGTCCCAGCCCCTGAGATGCTCCCATGTGGCTGGCACAGGGAGCCCCCGATGCCCAGGGGAGCTGCACTGCGGTGGCACAGCACAGGAGGACGGCAGCCAAGGCAGGTGAACCACCCCTAGCCCGGGGTGAGCGGGCAGACGGAGGCAGCTGAGCCTGGCCCAGCTCCCTGCTGTCCCATCCACCTCCCTGCTGTCCCCTCCACCTCCCTGCTGTCCCCTCCACCGCCCCGCTGCCCCTGCAGACCCGCCCAGCCCCCCCGTTACAGGCAGGCAGGCAGCAGAGCGGGGTGCAGGCAGGGTTTTGGGGGGACGCCTGGCCATGGGGTGCAGGGGGCGGGGGCAGCGCTCGCCGGGGGGCCCCGGACATTACCTGCAGTGCCAATGGGTTTCTTGGATTTGTTGTAGATGTGATCACCTGGGTTAGGGGGGGGGCGCGACGTCCTGGCCCTGCCGCGCCAGCAGCGGGTTGTACTCCTTCCCGTCGTAGTTGGCGTCGAAGAATTTCTTGAACCACTGGATGAACTCAAAGTTGTCCTGGAACTTGCCCTTCACCAGCCGCTCCACGGCGATGATCTGGGGGCACACGGAGGGACCGGTGGGGCTGTGCTCCCGGTGCAGCCCCTGGCACGGCGGGGACGCCGGCACGGCACAGCACAGCCCCCCGTGGCACAGCCCCCACCGTCCCCATGGACCTACTTTGTCCACTCCCATCTTCTTGAAGGCGGCCTGCAGCACCTTGAAGTTGTGGATGTACTCGTGCTCCAGCTTGGCCTGGAATTTCACCTTCCGCAGGTGCACGCAGCCGGGGAACAGCATGTCCATGAACTGGCAATAGGCAGCCCCTGCGCCGGGCCCGCGCCGCGGTCAGGGGGGCTGGGGGCACCGAGACACCACCCCCTCCGTGTCCCCAGACCCCCCCGAGCCCACCTGAGCAGAGCTGCTCGATCTTGGTGTAGTTGAGCTGCAGGGAGTCGTTGACCCAGGCCAGCATGTCATGGCGGCTCAGGTTCTCGCTGGTCACCGACGTCGAGTACACATTGACGGCCATGCCCCAGCTGTGAGAGACAGGGGTCACACAGGGGGCAACCCCGACCCCGGGGTGACCATCCCACACAGGCTCTCACACTGGGGGCACTGGAACCTGGGGTACACATCCCACCCAGGCTCCAGCACAGGGGACACTGGGACCTGGGGTGTCCATCCCACACAGGCTCTCACACTGGGGGCTGGAACCCAGGGCACACATCCCACCCAGGTTCCAGTACTGGGGGATGCTGGGGCCAGGCTGCCATGGGACCTGTGGGACCGCCCCCTTCAGCTGCACCCACAAATAAGGCAGGAGGGGTGTGACAGGGAGGCGTGAGGGTCTCCAGAAGCCCCACGGTGGCCCACTCGGCTGGGTGGACCCCTGCCCTGAACAGGGGTACCCAGGGGAGCCGGGTCACAGGGTGCCACGGGGAGCAAGACACGGATGTAGTGCAGGATGTTGCTCACGGGCAGGGGATCCCAGGGGATGTGGGCACCACGGAGGGGCCACGGGCACTGCCGAGGGCACTGCCTCTGCACCAGGGGGATGTTGCTGCCCTGTGTGAGGCCACGGGGCTCCCGGGGGCTGCTGCCCATAAGCAGCTTAGGGCCCCCCCTCCGGCCCCCGGTGCTGCCTAATCTGCTGGGGCCAGGATCGGGATTGGGGTCCATTAGAGCAGGGCTTAGAGGGGCAACATCTGCCGGCAGGCATGGCCACAGAACCGCGCCCAGATGGTGGGGGGCTCTGGGACCCCCTGTCCATGGCCCTGGCACTGCACAGCAAGGGGAGCCCCACCAAAGAGTGGCGGGCACCGAGCCCCCATCCCACTGCCCCCCCCCCCAAATGCTTTAGTTCAGGGACCGATCGAGGGTCCCGGTCCTGCTGCCCCTCCCCGGGGCCGAGGGTCCCCGTGCCCCTTTCCCCCCCCGCGCAGCAGCGGTGGCAGCGGCGGTGTTAATCCGCTTCCCTCCCTGGCCAGGGGGGCTGCGGGGCCCGGGCCAGCTGCCAGGCGGGGGCTTGGGGGGGGCGATCCTCATCACCCCCCTCCCGCTGCCACAGCCCGGGGGGGGCGAGGGCGGCACTGCCACCGCACGGCTCCGCCCTGGGGGGCTGGGGGTGCATTGGCGGGGGGCTGTGGGGGGCTACCACCTCCCCGGTGCCCGTTTGGGGAGGAACAGGTGCCGGTGGCCGCAGCCCCCCCACGCTCGGGCTCAGCACCGCGGTGACTCAGCACCGGCGATGCCGCACGGCCGCGGCCGCTTGAACCCCAGGGGCAGCTGAGCCCCCCGCCCCCCGCCGCGGCCGGGACCCCCGGCCCGCTCCGCCGCGCCACCGCACGCAGCTGGGGGCGGGTATCGGTATTTTTAGCCGCCACCGCAGCCTCTGGCACCGCGGTCCCCGCGCCGCCGCCATCCCCGGCACGGCGCGGTGGGCACCGACCGCTCCCGGCACCGGCGAGAGCCAGAGCCCGTCCCGCGGCCTCGTGCCAGCGGGGTGCGGGCAGGGGTCCCCCCCAGGCTCTGCCCCTCTCCCCCCTCCCCTGGCTCCGGCAGCGGAGCTGAGTCATGCGCGGCGCTGAGCCAGAGCCACGCGCACTGCGGTGCCGCGGCTGCCGGGAACCGCCGCGCCGGGGCCGGGGGCTGCAGAGGGCCGCGTGGGGCAGGGGGCTGCCGCCGACAAACCCCCGCCATCGCCGGCCCTTCCCCAGATAACCGGAGCTGCCTCCGGCAGAGCTGGACCCACCGCGAGCCGCGGGGCCGAACCGTGCCCGGTGGAGCGGGGGATGCCCGGCGGGACCCGACACGGCCGCCCACGGCTCTTAGGCCCCCTGCCCGCGTTTGGGACGGGACAGGGACCCCCTGGGGCCCCAACGGGGACGGGTTTCCCAGTGGGATGAAGTGGGGTGTCACGGCGCCAGGCGAGCCCTACGTGTCGCCACCAGCCGCACCCCGACTCCCGCACACGCCGGCACACGTGAGAGCCCGGGGGAGAACCTTGGCCCGCGGGGAGAACCGTGACACGCCGGCAGAACCCCTGACCCCTTCGGCAGAACCCCGACCCCGCCAGGCACCGGCGTGTCCTGACCCCGGAGCGGGGACGCGCTGGCCGGGGCACTCGGTGCCACCCAGCCCGTCCCCACCCTCCCAAACCTCCCAAACACCTTCCAAGCCCCCGGCGCAGCGCCGAGCACGCCCCGGTGTAATGACAGGGCAGCCAGGGCCTGCGGCACCCTCCGACCCGCTGCCGCCCCGACGCCGGGCGATGGACGCGCCCAGGGCCGGGAGCCTCCGGCCCGGCCGGTTTGCCGCCGGCTGGTGCCAAAAAACTAATGAAAATAAGAACTGAGCCCCGATTCCCGGCAGGCCGTGGGGAGAGGGACTGTTGCCGGGCGCCCGGCCAGGCGGGGGACGCTTACCGCTGCATTTTAATTGTCCGGCCCCGAGCTGATAATCACGGCCCCGGGCTGTGTCCGTGCCCGTCCCGCGGCGCTGCCGGGGCGCACGCAGAGGTCGTCCGGGCCCGGTCCCACGGCGCAGCCCCCGGGCCGCTCTGCCCAAACAAACGGGAGCAGAGTGAGGCCGGACGCGTGTGCCAGCGCCGGGGCGGCCGTGCCACCGCGGCGGCCGAGGGCGGCACCGACAGCGGGCACCGGGAGCCGGGCGGCGCGTCAGTGCCGGCCCGGCAGCACCGCGGTGCCGGGGCGAACTGGGCTGCTGCGACTGGCGGGTTCTATTTTGGGAGCCGTCCCGGTGGCTTCTCAAGTGACAAACACGCGAGGGGGGTGGCAGACAGCCCGGTGGGGGCTGAGCGCCGTGCGGAGCCGCCGCGGGGCTGCCGGGGACCTGGCAGCGAGCACAGTGGCCCTGGTGCCATCAGAGGTGGCCACTCGCCGCTGTCCCCCCCCAGGGGTCCCCCCAGTGCCACTTCCCCCCACCCCAAGCAGAGCATCCCCGCTCCCCAACCTGCGCTGCGGTGGGCACAGGTGGGTTTGCCGGGCGCGGGCAGCCCCCAGCCCCGCACCGGCTCCATCCCCAGCCCCGCACCGGCTCCATCCCCAGCCCCGCACCGGCTCCATCCCCAGCACCCTTCCCTGTCTCCCGGCGGCAGTGCCCGTCCCGACGAGGCGAACCGGCCGCTCACGCACCGGGAGCTGTCGGCTCCCGACGGCGATGCCTGCGCGGTGCCGGTGCCCGGAACGCGGGGTGGGTGCCGGCCGAGCAAATCCCCCCGCCCCGCTCGGCTCCCGCTAACCTAAATAACTCGGTACGGCGGCGGGAGCATGTGCAGAGAGGAGCCCTCCCCCCCGCTCCTGAAATATTAATGCCGAGCGCCGCGGGATGAGCCGAGCCGGGAGAGCCGGGGCGGGCGGGGGACACGCTCCCGCTCGGGACACTCAGCCCGTGCCACGCCGCCGGGCAGCGCTGTCCCCTCCGTGTCCCCACAGCGTGACGGGACGGACAGTGAGGGCTCACGGCACCCCCGGGACCCCGATCACACCGGGGGGGTCTTGGGGCGGCGCTGGGGGCCGGGTCTGTGCGCTCCGACCGCGGCGGGGGGACCCGCTCGGGAAGGCCCGGGCGGGAGATGGGGTTGGCTGCCCCCGGGACGGCGGGGGAGCACAGGGAAGGGGCCGCGCCAGTGACACCACAACCGCACCGGTGACAACCGGTGACAATCCCGTCCCGGCGGCACCGCGGCCGTGCCGGTGACACCGCCGCCATTAGTCCGAGCACCGGGAGCGCGTCACGCTCCGTGGGTCACGGTGACAGCCGCCTGCCGCCCGGGACCGCCACGGCAGCATCCCGGGAGTGTCACCCACATCAGCACCGGCGGCACCGGCACTGCCCGACCGGCGGCGGCCCGGGCCCCGCAGGAGCCCCCAGACCGGGGATCCCCGGGTGACGCCCAGGCCCCGCTCATGCCCGGGACCGGCGGCAATGCCCGGGCCGCTGCTGCGCGGTGCCGGGACTACAGCTCCCGGCCTGCCGGTGCCGTACCGGGACCGCGCCGTACCGGGGCCGCATCGTGCCGTGCCCGCGGCCCCGCGGGAGCTGCGGCCGGGTTGCAGGAACGGCCGTCGCTGAGTCAGGCCCGGCCCCGCCGCCACCGGCCCCGCGGGACCACCCGGCCCCGCCGCTCAGCCCCGGCCCCGCCGCTCAGCCCCGGCCCCGTTCCCGGCCCGGTCGCGGCCGCTCCATCCTCGGCGGCACCGGACAGACCTCCCAAACCACCCGCGGCCGCTTCATCCCCGGAGGCCCCGCGGCCCCCCGGCCTCGCCTCTCAGGCCGTGTTCTCGGCCCGGCCCCGCCGCTCCATTCCCGGAGGCCCCGCGGCCCCCCCGGCCGGCGCCGGCGGCCGGTGCGGGGATGCGGGCGATGGCGACGGCGCTGCCCGGTCCCTCCCCAGCCCCTGGACGGTCCCGCCGCACTCACCGCTCGGCCGCGGCCGCCGCCGCTCCGCTCCCCCCGTTTCGCTGCCGCCGCTCCGGGACCGGGACCGAGACCGGGCCGGGATCGCTCGGACCCACCGCGCCTGCGCCGCCCCCCCCGGCGGGCGGGGCCGGCCAATAGACCACGCCCATGCTGCCATGGCAACTGACGTGACCACGCCCTCTTAAACCATGGCAACGGAGCGTGGCCACGCCCCCTCTCCGCCATGGAAACCATCATGCCCTCCCCTCCCTGTCGCCATGGCAACAGGTCTGGCCACGCCTCCGTCAGCCTTGTTTCCCACACAGCGCCCCCTGGCGGCGGGCGGAGCCCCCTGCACCGCCGGGACCTCCCGGGACCCCCGGGACACCCCCGGAACCCTCCCGGACCCCCCGGGACCCCCCGGACCCCCCCCGGACACTCCCGGAACCCTCCGGACACCCCCGGAACCCTCCCGGATCCCCCGGGACCCCCCGGGACCCGCCGGACACCCCCGGAACCCTCCCGGACCCCCCCGGACCCCTCCCGGATTCCCCGGGGCCTTCCGGGGACCCCCACTTTGGGACCCACCCGAGACCACAGAGCCCCCCCGACACCGCAAGCCCCCTGCATCCCCCTGTCTGTGTTTGTGGATGTACATGTGGTGGCAGGGCCAGCCCCGTGTCCCCACAGTGTCCCCCTCTGTCACCATGTCCCCAGCTGTGTCCTCGTGTCCCCACACATTCCATGCCCTCCTGTGTCCCCACATCTCCATGCATGTCCCTAGGTGTGACCCCGTGTCCCCATGTAACCCCATGTCCCCCTGTGTCCTCACATGTGTCCCCATGTCCCCACATGTGTCCCCACATGTGTCCCCTCTCTGTCCTCATGTCCCCACAAATGCCCCCCCTGTGTCCCCTCCGTGTCCCTATGTCAGGGCTCTTTCTGCTCCCAGCACCTCCCTGGGCACCCCTTGTCCCCAGTGCCATGGCCATGGGGTCCCTAATCCTGTCCCCCACCCGGATCCCCCACCCAGGATCCCCCCCAGGCCCCCAAGCAGGCGCAGGCCGGGCGCTGTGAACGGTCTTTAATGAGCAAACAACGGACGGCAGGTTCCTAAATTGGCCGTGTGGGACCACCCAGGGGGACACGGGACCCCCCGCCAGGCACCCACCGGCCCCCAAACACCTACAGGGACCTACAGGGGGAGGGCACAGGGTGGTGGGGGGTGGGGAGCGGGGCCGGGGCACCCCCAATAGCACCAGGGGGGGACGGCAACCCCTCGGGGGGGGCCACACGCACCCGGACCCCCGTCGGCACCGGGGGCAGCGCTGGGGGCCCGGTGGGTGAGAGGGGACCCAGCACAGCCTGGAACAGGTGTCAGAGGGGTGGGGACACGTGTGCAGGTGTGCTGAGGGGTTCACCTGCGCACACGCGTGTGCAAACACGCCTGGGAGCGTGAGGGGTGACACAGGTGTGTGCTGGGGACACCTCGCTGGGCCCGGGCAGGGGTGACACAGGGGTGACAGGTGTGCACACCTGTGCCAGGGCAGCTCACTGGCCCCGTGCTCGTGCAGGGGGGTGTGTGACACCCCTCACTGCCAGGGTGGGGGGACGGAGAGGGGCAGGAACGGGGGGTGTGGGGATGGGGAGGTGCAGGGAGGGGGAAGGGGGGACAGGGATAGAGGGGAGGGTGAGAGGGGGCAGGAATGGGGCTGCAGGAGTGCAGGTGAGGGTCAGGCGTGGGGGAAAGGGATGGGAATGGGGGGCTGGGGTGTGGTGGGGGGTCAGGGATGGATGGTGGTGCGGGGATGGAGGTGGAGACAGGAGGACAGTGACGGGGATTGGGGTTAAGGGCGGTGATGGGGGTTAGGGATAGGGACTTGGTGATGGAGGAGGGGCTGGAATGGGGTTCAGGGATGGTGATGGGGGTCAGGGATGGGGTCAGGCCAGGGGCAGGAAGGGGGGGGGCCCTGCGTCTCCCCCACCCCTGTCGACCCAAACCACTTCAGAGTATTTCCACGGGATGCACAAACAAGTCAAAGTTTCACTGATCCAAACCCAACGTGCAAACAGAAAAGGGCCGGGGGGGCACCCGCTGCCCCCGGCCCTCCGCGGCCCCCGCGCACGGCCCCGCCGCCGGCACGGCCCCGCCGGCAGCACGGGGGCCAGGCAGGGCCCCCCGGCGAGGGGAGCCCCGCCCGAGCCGGGCCCGGGGGGCGCTGGGGGCGGCGCCCGGTCCTCAGTTGGGGGACAGGTCCCCGGCTCTACCAGATGCCGCTCGACCGGCCCCCGGGGGGAGCGAGAATCCGGGCCGAGGCTCGTTTTGGAACGTGGTCATCGATCTGAGAACCTGCCGGGCACACGAACGGACGGCGGGTGTCAGGGTGGGGGCAGCGGGGGCACGGTCCTGCAGAACCCCTCAGCCCAGCACCACCGGCAAGGGGGACAGCAGGGGCTCAGTGTCCCCCGGCACTGCGGGGACAGGGGATGCTCCGTGTCCCCCAGCACTGCAGGGACAGGATATGCTCCGTGTCCCCCGGCACTGTGGGGTCAGAGGATGCTCCGTGTCCCCCCAGCACTGCAGGGTCAGGGGATGCTCCCTGTCCCCTTGTTCCTGCCCCGGCTGTGGTGGATGCAGTGGGGGAGCACCGACCCCGCCTCGTGCAGCCCCTCCATGTGCCAGCCACGGACTTTCAGCCCCCAAGTCCCATGTCCTGCCTCGGGGGGCTGGAGCAGCTCCAGTGCCACCGGGACACCGAGCAGGCACTGGCACGGAGCATTGTCCAGGCACAGTGTGGGGAGCCGGGGCTGCCCGAGCACAGGACGCAGCTCCATCCTGCCTGGCACAGACCCCCAGACTGGCACAGACCCCCAGACTGGCATAGACCCCCCAGCCACTCCCCTGACCACCCCAGAGCCCCGGCCAGTGCAGCCACACGACGGACAGTGCACAGAGGGAGGGAGGGAAGGGTGAGGGGCTGCAGGTCCAGGGAAGGGGGCAACTCTGCTCTGCCACGGCTCCCTGCCCGGGAGAAGGGGGGCTGCACCCGGCGGGAGGGGGTGATGGGAGTGATGGGGACACCCTGAGGTGGCAGTGGGGACACCTTGGGGAGGGGGGTGACAGGACAGCCTGGGAGAAGGATGGCAGGACACCCTGGGGTGAGAGTGGGAACACCCTGGGGGGGAGATGGGGACACTTGGGGGTGGCAAGTGCCCGGCCAGTGCCCGGGGGGGCCGAGGCCGGGGGGGCCCGAGGCCGGGGGGGCCGGGCCCTTCACTGCGGCCCTGCTCTTACCGGAGAGGCTGAAGCTGGACTCGTGGAGGTCCCTCATGCCCCCGTGTCGCGTGGCCGGCCGGGTGGGCGTATCGGCCAGGGGCGTCCCCGTCTCTTTTTTCCCAGCATGCACAACCACGGCCACGTCCCCCAGGTACGGGGTGCGATCCACACCCCGCAGCTTCAAAGTCTGCCGGGAGCGAGAGAGAGAGCGGAGAGAGCGTCAGCACCCACCGGGGGGGGGCTGCGGCCGGGGCTGGGGGGGCCCGCGGTGCCAGCGGGGTGAGGGGTGCCAGGGCCCTACAGCGGGGTGCGGATCGGCCGGTCCGGGAGAGGGAAAGGGCTGGGGCATGCTGGGGCTGGGGAGGGGGCTGCGGCTGGGGAAGGGGTTGAGGCATGGGGAGGGGGCTGTGGCGTGGGGAGGGGGCTGCGGCTGGGGAGGGGGCACTTGGCGGGGTGCTGGGCAGGCTGAGGGGCTCCTGGTGCAGAGCAGCAGGACCGGGGGCTGGGGGAGGTGGGTGACCCTGGCAGAGCAGCCCCTCGCCCTGTCCCCCCCACAATGCCCAACCAAGCCAAGCCACACCAAGCCATGCCAAGCCACACCAAGCCATGCCAAGCCACACCAAGCCATGCCAAGCCAAGCCATGCCACACCAAGCCAAGCCATGCCACACCAAGCCATGCCAAGCCATGCCAAGCCATGCCATGCCAAGCCAAGCCAAGCCCATGCGATACCCTGTGCCCTCCCCGCAGCCACACAGCTCCAGCCAGGTACTCTGGTGCTGGCCACCAGCTCCTTGTGACAGTGCCAGGTCCCCCCTCGCAGCACCAGCACCGCCCCAGTCCCCCAGCACACCCCCTACAGCCACGGCTCTGGGGCACAGGGTGGGCCCTGGTGCTGGGGGCTGCCAGAGCTCCCGGGTGTCGCGGCCGGGCAGCCCCTGCCAGGCGTGTCTGGTGCACGTGGTGCCACCACGAGCCGTGGGGCTGCCTTGGGGGCACCCAGCAAAGGGCAGAGAGCCGGGACAGAGGGCTGGGGGGGCCCTGACATTCAGCCTTGGAATGACCACGAGCCACACACGTGTTGGAAGAACTGTCCCCTTGCAGTGCCAGCAAGGAGCCAGGGAAGGGTCCTCCATCGCACACCCACCTGCAGGGACCCCCCGGCCCCTGAGCGAGGCACGCTGTGCTCTTGTCACCTGCCCCAGCGTGGCACAGTGTGGCACGGCACTGTGGTGGCACAGACCCTTCTTCCACGCTGCTGGGACCACCGTGGCCACCGGCCCCTTGTCCCATGCAGCACCCCGCACGGTGCAGCCCTGCCCCACACTGTGGCACTGCTCTGGCACCGCTCTGGCACCACTCTGGCACTGCTCTGCCCCGGCCCCCCCGTACCTTCTCCCGCTGCACCAGCTTCTTGTAGGCGACGTCCGGGAAGGAGCGGAGCGGGCAGAACTTGCCGGTGCCCTCGGCGCACATGAAGACGCCGTTCTCGTAGACCACGCGCCCGCGGCTGATGGTGACCAGGGGCACCCCGTGGCACCGCATGTTCTCGTACAGGTTGATGTCCCCACCCTGCACCTGGGTGCTGGCCGAGATGGTCCTGGGCGGGGGGGTGGCACGGTGAGGGGCACTGGTGGCACGGGGAGCCCCTCCCCAGCCCCCTGCCATGGGCTGCACCTACTTGGTGGCCTCGGGGTCCCAGACCACGACGTCGGCGTCGGCCCCGGGGATGATCCGGCCCTTGCGGGGGTACAGGTTGTGGATCTTGGCGGCGTTGGAGCTGGTCACGGCCACGAAGCGGTTCTCATCCATCTTACCCCCCACCTGACACAGGAGTGGGGGTGAGGATGTGCCAGGCTGTGTCCCATCCTGTCCCCACAAGCCCCCACGGCACCCCAGAGGTGCTGCTGGGGCTGGGACCCTCGCCAGGACCCACTGGGGTGGCACTGGGGAGCACCTCACCCACCAACAAACACCCCACGGGACGTCCCACCCCAGCAGAGCCCCCAGGGCCAGCCCCGTGCCAGGGGCTGGCATTGCCGTACCACGCCGCGCTCCCAGATGATGTTCATGCGGTCCTGCACCCCGCTGACGCCGTGGGGGATCTTGGTGAAGTCCTCCTTGCCCATGGCCTTCTGCTTGGTGCTGAAGGGCCGGTGGTCCGAGGCCACGATGTTCAGCGTGTCGCTGTGGGGGGACAGGGCAGGGTGGGGGATGGCACCCCTGGGGTTGCTTGGGGTGCCCGGGGAGCCCAGAGCCCAGGGAATGGGGCACCTACACCACGGGGTGCCTGGAGACCTGGGCACCTAGGGGGCAGGGTGCCCAGAGAATGGGGTGCCCATGCAGGGAGTGCCCAGGGAAGAGGGTGCCCAGGGAATGGGGCACCTGTGCACGAGGATTCCCAAAGGAATGGGACACCTGTGCAAATGGGGTCCCCAGGGAGCTCAGTGCCCAGGGAATGGGGTACCCAGGAAATGGGGTGCTCACACCATGGGGTGCCTAGAGAGCAGGGTGTCCAGGGAATGGGGCACCCAGGGAGTGGGGTCCCTGGGGAGTGGGATACCTGGGGAGTGGGGTGCCCAGGAAGCTCAGTGCCTGGGGAGGAGGGTGCCCAGGGTGGGGCCCAGGAGGGGCACCCACACCCCAGGAGCTCAGTGAGTGCTTGGGAAGTGCAGCACCCACAGAGCACGTCCCCAGGGGCACACAGGTCCAGGGAGGGAGGCACAGAGAGCTCGGTGCCTGGGAGGTGGGGTGCCCAAAGGACGGGGTGCCTGGAGGGCACAGCCCCAAGGGAGCAGGATGATGGGGTATGGCACAGCCAGGCAGCCTGGCACCCAGGAGCAGGACACCGGGGGGTGTGCCGGACACCAGAAAGCCCCCACGAAGTGTGGCTGGCAGGGGGGGCAGAGAGGGTGCGGCTGGGAGGGGCCTCACTTGGCGAGCAGGCTCATGAGGTAGGCGGAGGTGTTGGTGTCGAGGCGCAGCGGCGGCACGGTGACGTAGGCGGCGGCGTGGAACCAGTCCTGGTGGTAGTAGTGCAGCCCGGTGAGCGTGGCGTGAGCCGTGGTCGTCTCCGCGTACACCACCTTCCCTGCCGGGGCGGAGGCACACGCGTGTGCGAGGGCACGTGTGTGTGTGCACTGGCCATGCCCAGACCCCCATGCACCCCTCAGGCCACGATCCCCGTGACCATGTGTGTGCTCACGTGTGTCCCCTGGGTGCTCACATGTGTGTGTGTCCTGGGTGCTCACGAGTCTGTCCCCTGGGTGCTCATGTGTGTGTCCTGGGGATGCTCACATGTGTGTCCCGGGGGTGCTCACACTTGTGTGTCCCCTGGGTGCTCACATGAGTGTCCCCTGGGTGCTCACGTGTGTGTCCCCTGGGTGCTCACGTGTGTGTCCTGGGGGTGCTCACACTTGTGTGTCCCCTGGGTTCTCAAGAGTGTGTCCCAGGGGTGCTCACGTGTGTGTCCTGGGGGTGCTCACGTGTGTGTCCTGGGGGTGCTTACGTGTGTGTCCCCTGGGTGCTCACATGTGTGTCCCAGGGGTGCTCACACGTGTGTGTCCCCTGGGTGCTCATGTGTGTGTCCTGGGGGTGCTCACGTGTGTGTCCCAAGGGTGCTCACGTGTGTGTCCCGGGGGTGCTCATGTGTATGTCCCCTGGGTGCTCACATGTGTGTCCCGGGGGTGTTCACACATGTGTCCCCTGGGTGCCCGGTGGCTGTGGTTCCAGGTGTGCACACCCGTGCGAGGGCACAGCCCCACAGGTACACACGTGTTCCCGTGCCCACGTGTCTGTTCCCTCCCGTGTCTCCGGGTGCCCGTGTGTCTCTGCGTGTCCACAGCTCTACCATCCACGTCTACGTTCCTCCAAGCCCACAACCTCCCCGGTGCCCACACGTGTCCCGTGCCTGTGGGTGTTTCTGTGCTCCTTGCCCACACGTGTGCTGGGGAGGTGGGTCTCCACCCGTGTCCCCTACCTTGCATCTTGGCGGCAGCGATGACGTCCCCCGCAGACATGCTGGAGACGTTCACCAGGTACACAGGGCAGTGGGTCTGTGGAGAGCGGGTCAGCGGCACTGTCCCCGTGGCACCCTGGCTCCATGGGGACCCCCCCACGGAACTGAGGTGCCCGCTCTCAGCCCACCCCACGCTCAGGACCACTCACCCTGTTGGCGATGGTGATGACACGGTGCGTGGCCTCGGCTTCCAGCTGCGGAGAGAGCCAGCAGTGACACGTGTGGCATGGCACAGTGGCACCCAAGGGTGGGTGGGGGACACAGTGATGGGTGGGATGTCCCAGAGTGTCCCAGAGCATCCCAGCCATGACCCGTGCCACCGCTGCGGTGACACAGTGGCACCAGACATCACCTACCTCTTCGGGCCGGCTGATCTCAATGCCCTCCGGTCCCGTGATGCCCAGATCCAGCGCTTCCTTGGCTCCCTGAGGGATTTGGGGGGGTCAGGGTGGGGGTTCTGCTGCCCCAGGCTGGGGGCCTATCGCACCCCTTGTCCCCCTGCTCTCACCTCAGCCACGAGCTCTCCGTTCTCGGCGTGGACGCGGGCGATGGCGCCAAAGTCGCGGCAGGCGCGCAGGACCTGGTAGAGCTCGCTGTCCCGCAGCATGTACAGGTCCTTGTAGGTCATGAACATCTGGAAGGAGTTCACCCCCTTCTCCCGCACCAGCGTCTCCATCTCTGCCTTCACCTGTGCCGGGATGGGGAGTTCAGTGTGGACCCGCTCCCCACGCGCCGCGAGGGGCCCCATCGCAGGGCAGGGACAGACACACCCCCCTGGGGACACGGGATTTGTGGGTGATTTGGGGAGCGACAGCTGCTGAGGGGCGTGGAGGGGATTTTCTCACGCCCCGGGGGGGCACTCGCTCCATCCCTCCACTCCCTGCTCTGTCTGGGGGGGTCGGGGCCGGGGTCTCCCCACGGCACAGCCGGGAGCCAGGTCTGATCCCCCTCTGGCAGCTTTGGGGGGATTGCAGGGGCTGAGCGTGCTGTGGGATGTGGTCCAGGCATCAAGCCCCCACTGCCATTCCCGTGGGGGTCATGCTGCAGGTTGGGGTCCCCCCAAACTGGGACCACCATCCCTGGGCACCCTGGTCCTCCCTTTGGAGTAGCACCACCTTCCCCACCCGGCGAGGGGCTCAGCCTCGCAGGGACCCCCTGCCCCAGGGGAACCCCTGAGCCCCTGCCCTGCTGAGCCCGGCTCAGGGCAGCTCAAAAGGCAGCCTGGGGGCTCAGCCCACCTCCCAGGCAGCTAATGGGATCAACGGGGCTGGGAATTAGTCCCAGCAGCTGCTCCCGGGCTCCCGGAGCCGTGCCAGACTCACCTTGGGCGCCCACCAGGTGATGCCCATGTGCAGGGCGTAGTCGCAGCACACCTTGGGGTCGGCCAGGCTGCGGCACTTCTCGTAGGCGTCCAGCAGCGACGTCTCCTTGTCGGGCAGGACGTGGCCGATGATCATTGTCGTGCCCCCCACCAGCGCTGCCTGCGGGGCACAGGGAACGTGGTGGAGGGGCAGGATTCACCCCCCCGCTGCCGGCACCGATCCTGCCCGGCCGTGAGCCAGGGGAGCCCTCAGATGCCAGGCCGGGGTGGCCACATTTGGGAACGGCATTGCCCACAGGCAGGGAGCACATCTGGGTGGCCACATCTGGGAACGGCATTGCCTTGGAGGGTGTGGGAACGGACCCTCCATTTGGGAATGGACCCTCCACATTACCCTGGCCCCGCCCACAGCTGCCCATTTGCAGCAGCACATCTGGGCACACAGCACATCTGGAGAGCCCCATCCCGTCACCGCTGGGGCACCCCCTGTCCCAGCTGCACAACCCGCTGGATTTGGGGGGCCCAGCAGCCCCCTGGCACAGAGCCCTGTGCGGGGTGGGGCCCCAGGGAGCCCCCCCTCTGCAGCGTGGGCGGCAGGGCAGGCGCTGTGGCACCGCCGGTGTCCCCGGCTCACCCAGCCCCGCTAATCCCCAAAGCTCCTTTGCCCATCGCCCTCACGGGAGGTGCCGGCGCGGTGCCACGGGGCGGGTGATGGTGATGGGAAGCAGGCCTGGCACGGGGTGTCTGGGGGAACTGCACCGGCCCCTGTTCCCCAGGGACTCCATCACTGAGCCCCCCGCCCAGGGACATCGGACACCCCGGGGACAGGCACGGCCAGCGCTGGCCTGGCACAATGGCTGCTCTGTGCAGGCACTGGGGACAGCGGGACAAGCTGCAGGGACAATCCTGTGCTGGCCCCTCGACACCCCCAGGCAGCGGCACCCGGTACGTGGTGCCACCAACACAGGGAGGGCAGAGGGTCCCCGAGCTGGCACAGGGTGCCACGGCCCCAGGGTGGGAGGAGAGCGCTCGCAGGAAGGGGACATGATGGATGGGGACATGATGGATGGGGACACGGGGACAGGCGGTGCCACACCACAGCGCTGCTCTGGAGCTGATGCTGCCGGGGATGCCCACGCTGCTGGGGCAGAGAGCTGCACCACACCACACCACACCACACCACACCCCACCACAGCACCAGCGCCCCGGGGAGCCCCCCCAGAGCGGGGGGCAGACCTCCACAGCAGGGGCTCAGGGTGAGGGGTACCTTGGTGCCGTGGTAGAAGTCATCGACACAGGTGGCGTTCATGAAGGTCTGGTGGAAGTGGGTGCTGGTGTCGATGCCGCCCGGGATGACGAGCTTGCCGGTGGCGTCGATGACCTTGGCACCGCCGGGGATCATCAGCTCGCGCCCCACTTGCTGGATGATGCCGTTCTCGATGTAGACGTCGGCCTCGAGCGTGCAGTCGTCGTTCACCACCTTCCCCCCCTTGATGAGGATCCGCATGGTGGCCGCGTTGGCCATCATGGTGCTGTGGGGCAGGGGCGGTGCCAGGGTGACCACCGGGAGCTCCCCGTGGCTGGGGAGGGGTCACCCCATTGCCCACCCTTGCCAGAGATGCCCCAGTGCAGGGCTCAGGCTGCACATCCTCCATGGGCCGTGCCAATGGATTATCCCGGGAAATCCGCAGAGAGGAGGGGCCCTGGCACCGAGCCGGGGGCTGCCACCCCACTGAGCCCCCTGCTCTGGTGACACCAGTCTGCACTCTGGCCAGTGCTAGCCCTCCCATGGTCCCCACACCCAGAGCAGGGCTGCTGGACCCCACCCCTGCCCGTCCCTCATTGCCCCCCCAATTCCCCCCAGCTGCTGGTGCCACGCGTGCTGAGGGGACACTGCTTGGTGTCCCCATGAGGTGACAGCACTCATGCCTGGGGCAGGCTGCCTGCCTTGTCTCTGTGGGTGACTGGGACTGGCACAGAGAGCACTAGGACTGGCACCATCCGAGGGGTTCTCTGCCCACAGTGCCAGATCTGCCGGAGACCCCCGCGCTGCCCCAGCACTGCCTGAGCCCCCGGCAGTGAGGGGCATCCCCAGACATGATCGATAAGTCATTTGGTGAAGGTCAAACACCATCGACCTGTTGGAGTGAGGACAGCACGTGCCAGCTGTGCCCACTCGGGGGGAATGAGGTGGGCTGAGACCCCACCAGAACCCCCAACCCAGAGACCCCACTGCAGGAACCCCCACGGACCCCTCCACCAGACAAAGGCCAGGGAACCCACGTGTGCAGCATGGCACAGCCCAGCGCTGCTGGCACGATGCTGGCACCAAGCAGCCCTGTGGGAACAACCCCCAATGCCCACCAAGACCCCTGGATGGGCACCCCGGAGCCAGCACTGAGCCACGGGGCAGAGGGTGCTGCTGGTGGGGGACAGACCTTGTGGCAAGGGGTGATCGGTGCCCCCAGGACCCCACTGCTGCTCCAGTGGGTGCTGGGACCCAGGCACAGCTCTAAAGGGACAGTCCCGAGCTGTGCTGGCCCTTCCCAGTGCCCATCCCAACAGCTACTGGGCAGCAAATGGCTTCCCAGGCCCCGGAGCTGGCGGGAGCCGTGGTGTCATGGGGCTGGGTCAGGCTTTGCCAGCAGCTGGGCACTGCCAGAGCCACCGGCCAGAGCAGCTGCGGGGGGCGAGTGGCCGTGCCCACCAGGGACCACCACCATGCTGGGGGCACCAGGAGCCCCTCCTGGGCCAGCTCCTGCCCCGGGGCTGTGCGGTGGCAGTGCCAGCCCTGCCGTGGGTGAGCCCGGTGCCAGCCAGTGCCTCATCCCGCCGCCCTTGCTCCAGAACAGGGAAGCAGGAGCAGCTGCTGGGGTCCTGCAGGCAGCCCCCCTCGGGAATGTCACTGGCATGCACAGCTGTGTCACTGCTGAGGGACCCTCCCTAAGGACCGAGGCGGGGTGGCAGTGACCTCGTGCACCATGCCAGGTCACTGTGGCACGCTGGGCACTTGTCACCCCAGCCCAGTTGGTCCCACGCCCACATCTGCCCCCAGCTCTGCCTTAAGTACTGAGGCAAACCACTGCCCCACGTGAGGGCTGTGCTGGGGGGCACCCAGACCCACGGCACCACTGCCAGGGATGAGGGGAATGAGGGGGATGACGGGCACAAGGAGGATGAGGGGATCAGCCTCAGCCAGGGACCCTCCAAATCCCCTTGTCAACCAGGGTGGGCCAAGACACCAGGGCTGAGACCCACCTCGGTGGGGTGGGACCAGGGGGGACGAGCCGGTGCCCAGAGTGCCACCACAGTGCCCACAGCCCCCACGACCCCCGGGGACGCCAGGGCAGGGCTGGGCCAGGCAGGAGGATACAGGAGGGTGGTGCGGGGGGGAGATGGTGCAGCACAGAGGGGGTGTGGGGGGAGGTGTCACGTCGCACCCCGAGATGAAAGCAGGTTGTGGTGACGGACGGATCTGGAGCACGGAGTGTGCGGGGAGCAGCCAGTGCTGCTGCAGAACCCACCGCCCTGAGACCCCCGGCACGGGGGGACGGGGCACAGAGGGGCTGCCGGCGGCGGGGGAAGGGGTGAGCATGGCAGAGCATGGCAGAGCATGGCAGAGGGTGGCACAGAGGGGGCAGGGCTGGCGGGGGACAGGACATTGCTGGGGGCACAGGCGTGGGCTGGCCACCGTGCACAGACAAGGGCTGGCAGCTCCACACGCTGCCTGTAGCCTTGGCCACCATGGAGCCACCCACGCCACTGCCACCGCTGTCCCCACACTGCCCTCATTCCACTGTGCCAGGCCCCTTTCCCACCCCCTCCTCAAGGACCCTTGACCACCCCCCAGACTGCCACAGGAGGGTCCTGCTGTCCCCGTGCCACCACTCCCCAGTCCTTGTGCCCAGCCCCGACTGCTCACTGAGGCCTCTCTGGCACAGCAGCGTCCCCAGCTCACACCAGTGCCCCCATCACACCCAGTGCCCCTCAGCTCACCCCCGGTGCTCACACCGGTGCCCCCAGCTCACACCGAGCATTCCCGGAGGCTCTGCCCCCCCGTGCCCCAGCCCGTGCCGCAGTGCCAGCGTGGCACCAGCCCTGGTGACACCGGGGCCGTCGCCCGCACCCCGGCCAGCCGCTGCAGCGTGGCGGCACAGCCAGCATCGGCCGGCGGTGGCCGAGCTGGCGCGGTGGCCGGAGGTTTCCTGCCAGACAACAAACGGGCTCCCGCGCTGGGCAGAAACGCAGCGTCAGCGCCGGGGGGGCCACCACCATCCCGGGGACCCCCGCCCACCCCGCGCCGCAGCCCCCCGGCTCGGCCACCTCGGCAGGCGGTGGCCGCGGCGCCGCTCCCGGCACACAAAGCGGGGGGCTCGCAGCCCCCCCAGCCCCGCCGGCTGCCGCGGGGACAGCTGTGACCCCGGCAGGACAAAGGGACCCCGGCCCGGCGGGGGCTGCCGGGGGCACCTGTCGGGGCCGGGGCGGCTGCCGGGCCCGGCCTTTGTGCCGGGGCTGCCGCATTGTGCGGCGCGGCGGGGCCGGGGGGCCCTCACCGCCCCCCGCTTTTGTCTGCGCCGCCGAGACCCGGCACCCGCCCTGCCCGCGCCCACCCTGCCCGTGGGTGCCCCGACAGGACCCCGCTTTGTCAGGGCTGGGCTCGGCCACCGTCCCTCCGGTGACACCGACCCGCGACTACCGGCCAGAGGCGCTGGTGGGGTGGGCATCGCCCCCCGCCCGGGAAATGTCCCGCGGGGGGTTCGCCACGGCCCCCCAGCCCTGCCCCTGTGCCCAGGACGGTGCCGGGGTCCCACCGACCGCCCCCCCGGCCAGGACGAGCTGCGGTGCCACCGAGCCACCGCCCCGGGAGGGAACGGGAGACCCGCGGAGGCCGCGATGGGCGGGCGAAGGGCCAGGGATGCTCCACCGGAGGCAGAGCCGCCGAGCGCGGGATGCTGCCGGCGGGAGGCCGGTCCTCGTCTCCGCGGGCACCTTGGCACGGCCCGGCCGGGCACGGGAACGGCGCGGCCACGCCCGAACGAGCGAGGGGCGCTGCGGCGGGTCTCGGTGCGGGCTCCGGGCACCGCGGAGGGTCCCAGCCCCGCTCCTCGGTCCCCGTTCCTCCCCG